GCGCGGGCCGAGGACTTAGCAGCGACTAACCATCGCCACTTGTACAATGTTGTGCCAATCCGAATGTCAAGGTATTGGAGGAAAGAGCATGAGTAAACCAATTCATAACGCCTCAGAATGCTCATGACTCAGAGGCTAGGATCTGTAGGTCGAAAGCATTTCGCACCTTTCCGGCAGCCTTATCGGATTTTCTGTCGATTGATCCGGCTTAGAAATAATTGATTCGTTATCGTACGGTGACATAAAAATATAACTGTACAATAATGAATAGATGAGAAATATTCTTGTTTCTTCAAAAGAAGCGTAATTAAAATTGAACGTTTTCCAAACCCCACATTAGGGATTAAACATTTGCGTTTTGCTGTATTTTGCGGTACTTGTGACATTTTAGAGACGTATAATTTTAAAGTTCTTAAAATTAACAAATAATAAATATTTAAAAAATACAGCCCTGTCAGGGAAAAGAATATGTATAACTTTTTTTCCCTCCAACAATATTGTTTACGATATGCTTTTTAGGGGTTCGTAACCAAAGGGTAAAACGGGACCCTATTACTAAGAATCCGTTGTCTGTCTGTCTGTCCGTCCGTGTGTCACCAGGCTGTATCCCACTGTGATAGTTAGACAGATGAAATTTTCGACAAATACTTAAAAAACAGAATGAAAAATATTAAGCGGGGCTCCCATAAAACTGACATGATTTTATTGCCGTTTTTATAGACAATGGTACGGAACCTTTCGTGCGCGAGTCCGACTTAGTCGGTTTTATTACACTTTATCGCCTCGAGTTTCGTTGTAAAAGTACAGCATCTTTTACAGAGTGTTTATTGATATATTATTTTATCCCAATCTGGCTGTGACATATGGTCATAATACAATAGTTTTACTCGTAGTTCCCTTTGCCTTGTCTTAATGAATGGGAAAACCCATGCCTTTTGTTGTGACATATTACAAAGTTGTATGCAATTGGATGTCGGGACTATATACATTCTATTATGTAGTTGGTTAGGAAAAACGAATACTACATATTGGCAAATAAAAAGAGTCACCTTTTATTGTTAGTCTTTCCCTAGGCCACAGAAAATATTTATTGGACAAGTTTTATGTTATTAGTTCTGCGCTGGTGGCGTATCGTCAGTGAATCAGTTTTAAAAAGGATGTTGGTTCATGTTATTATCGACTTAAACATGAATTCTGGAAAATTGTTATTTAGCTATTGGTTTTCTTTTAAATAAAAACGTCTTTAGTTAGACGCAAAGTTTTCCTTTTTAACAACTCTCCAACACGGCTTATCATGCAAGTATTTCGTTGTTGCTAACACTATTAATAACGCTCAAAACCTGAAGAACAATGTAGTTTTTTCTTTTACGTGAAAAGTTGCCAAGCTAGCAGACGGTTCACCTGATGTTAAATGAATACATCAGGTGAAACATCAAGATGCGTTGACTACCTTTTGAAAATTGGGCTCCGGCCACCTCACTCACCAGATGAAACGCGAAAGAATTGTACTTCCACTTTACGCTGGTCTTCTGTGAGGTCGTGGTACTCACCCGGGCGAGCCTGCCCATACGTGCGACAGCCGAGGAAGCTGCGTGGCCCTACGACCGTTTTAGTATATGAAGTATAGAATGTACAAAGTTATAGAGTATAAAGTATTTCTACTTTACCTAAGTCAGTTTCCCGTCTATAAACTATATCTGTGTAAAAATTATATCTCGCGAACGCAATCACTTGCTGTTCAAAAGATGCAAATAAAAAAAAATCGATTATATTATATATAAGGGTTGCTTGTTTATCGAGTTAGTTTACTTTATTAGTGACTCTAGAAACGAGTTTGTGTACTTGAACGTCGACATTTAACATCTGTTTAAATAAAGCTGTAAGAAAGGCGTGTTCGACACAATCCCTGACCTTGACGTACCCGTTGGAAAAGGTGATATTTAACATTCAGTTCTAGTTAAAAATTGAAATGGTATTTGTAAATTTTTGTAGTTAGATTAGCTTATAGCTTTCAGCGCTGCGAAATTTCATAAGCTTTCAGCGCTGCGAAATTCTAACCTACGTCTTCTGGTTTCGCGCCCAGACTCTGTATTAACTAAACTACGAGGGGAACGTCAAAGATTGTATAAGAAATATGCACAAAGGTATTTAACAATACGATAGCGTTTGATTTCTTTTATAATATATTGACATCATTCATATCTTTCCCATTTTAATTATCAACAAATTGTAGTATGATTATAATTACTTTACACGGAAAAGTTAATTATAATAATGACTATAGACAAAAGTTACTTGGTTCCTTACAAGGTACAAGTTACAGTTACAAGCTGTCTTGCACCCCACGTTTTAATGACTTAAAGGGAAACAGGTTCGTTAAATATAACCAAAACGCGGCTGGGAATGCAATGGTTGGATAATAAAACTGGTACAGGTATTGGTAAATATCAACTGTCTCCGGGCAAGACACGATTTGAGAGCGTACACATTCGTGTCATTTGTAAAACGCACATAATTTAATGTGATATACAATGATGATCGACAATTTAATAGCACTGCAATGAACTAACTTTGTGAAAGATTAAAACCCCGTTCACATTTTAAAAGATAGTTTCCCTCTGAGCTTGCGCCTAAGATGTATAACTATTACAAATTAAATATTAAATAAAAAAATTAAATGATTAAATTAATTTGGGTAGACGGCAATTATTTTCGACATAATCACTTATTTAAAATTATAGAGGTCATCCGGTATGCCTGCATCTCAAAAAAGAAAAAACTACAAGATAGATTTCAATCAATTCCTCTAAATCCTATTTCTAAGGAAATTGGCCCTTTGCTATATAGTATTGTGATATCTAATGTAAGTTATTAAAGTTTTCAGAAACAAGGATTTTCTAGTATTACGTGTTCACTGATGCATTTTTTGCCGTGAAGAAGTAGGGCAATTCATGTAGTTAAAACCTGTAGAAAAAGAACGAAAAGATTGTCGCCGCTGTGGGAATCGAACCCACGTCTTCGGCATTCGCGGCCTGACGCTCTAGCCACTGAGCTAAACGGCTGATAGCCACAGCGACGAAAATCTTAACGCCTTCTTTCTACATTGTTATTTAGCATTTGAAGCAATGCTTAGCGCATCTATTGTCATATCCTTTCCAGCATACAAACAATTTCGAATATCATTTTACAACGATAAATCGAACGAGAGATGTCGCCATTGCTTATTATAAATTTTAAAGTTTTTTATAGTGCTAATCTCTGCACTTAAGATTGAACATTAAAACATGTAGAAAAAGAACGAAAAGATTGTCGCCGCTGTGGGAATCGAACCCGCGAGAGACAATGCCCGGGTAATGGGGTTCGAATCCCCGACGCCCGTACCCGCACCTACCCGGCTGCCAGGGCAGTGTGTAGACGACCCGTGTGTGTGTGCCAAAAAAAGTACAATTTAAGTACCACACGTCAATAAAGTTACTGCTTTGACGTATCCCACCGACTGCACCAGTAACGAAAGCATTTATATTCAGCAAATCCGTTATAAGCTGGTTATGTTGCACGGTGCATACTATTTTCTTCATCATCATCATCATCATCATCATCATCATCATCACCATCATCATCATCATCATCATCATCATCATCATCATCATCGCCATCATCATCATCATCATCATCATCATCATCATCATCATCATCATCATCATCATTTCAGCCTGTTTGAGTCCACTGCTGAACATAGGCCGTATTTATATATATACTATTTTCTAATTGATTTATAATTATAACAGATACGAAATTATTTAGATTAGCTATGAGACAAGTAGAGTGAAACAGTGTGCTAACAGTTTGTTTGATTAATGATAAAGCTTGTACGTTTTGAAATGTATTTAATACTTGTTATCAAACATGTATAATCCGCACTGAACTCGAAGAGAAAAGGTAAACATAAATGATGTACACATATTCATTTATTAGTTTTGATTGTGAAATAGTCGGTGGAGGCAAAAATATTGTTAAACATTTTTGGTTTTCTAGCTTGTAGGTCAAACTTGAAAATTCCTTACTTAAGTCTTGCTCACGTTCATAGATTATGCTACGCTTGTAAAAGCGAATGAAATCAGTTAATTGATAAGAAAAAAATATGACAATCGAAATAAGTGCATTCTTAGTCCATTTGTTACTATTCGTTCGTTATCCTTGAAACATTTTTTACAGATTAAGATTTAATAACCTTAAGACAAAGGAGTAGAAAGAATAAATAGAAGACATTTAATAAGCCAGCAGGGTGTAAATAAAAAAAATGTAATTCTAAATGAAAAAACTGTTAAACCTCATTCTTTTCGTAACCAAATATTTATCAAATCTAAATAAAAAATCAATACAAAACACAAGTTTAATCACTGTCACAAATATGTTTACGTTCTTTGTTCTCTCATAGCTCTGATAAAAAACTAAGATCCGATTCTGTTATGCTTCGAGTGCCTTTAAATGTTTGTTCAACATCGATCAAGTAGGAATAGGGTAAGGAACTAGTATAGGTTAGTTATATATATTAACATACCTACGCGATTCAAAAGGACAGTGCGATTATTTTGATCTCATTTATCAGTTAAGACAGATAATGGAGTTATTAATTATTGTAGCGTTCTGAGGAGGGCGGTTAAGTAGATTTTGTGGATCAAAATTCTTTGGGCAGTGTGATTCGAAGTCGCTCAAGAACATACACCATAGAAATAAAGTAACAACCTATAATTGTCCCATTACTGGGCAAAGGCCTCCTCTGTACAATGGCATCAGGGCATAGTCCACGCGGCCCCACTGTGGATTGGCGGACTTCACAGATTTTCGAAACATTTATTTGTTATTATTTCGAATACATGCAGGTTTCCTCAGGGTGATTTCCTTCACTGAGCACGTGATAATCGCATCACTTTAACAATTCTCATTATACCGTAGATTTCTAGATATTTCTTGTCAGCTTCCTCGCTCCTCCTTTTCAGACGTTCACCGAGTCGATAGAGCTTAGCAACCAGCGTCTGGTCGCCGAGAAGAGGAAGAGTGACGTCCTGCTATCCCGGATGCTGCCAATGCCTGTCATCAGGCGCCTCCGGGCGCAGAGGACCGTGCCGGCGGAGTCCTTTGACGCGGTCACCATCTTTTTCAGCGACATCGTGGGCTTCACGAACATCTCGGCCAGCAGTACCCCCATCGAGGTCATTAACATGCTGAACATGCTGTACAGGTGCGCGATGTTACCATCGAGGAATTAGGAAAGCTGCAAAGTGCAGTATATAATAATTTATTTACATCATTGAACAGTGAATTAACGGTTGTGTGTGATAAATCTCTTGCATGGAATATATCCTTAAAAGATCGAAATTAATTGAAAATTCGAATTGACATTTTTTTAATACTAACCCATTACTAATCGAGGACAGATAAATATTGATACATTTATAATATATGCTCCTCCTACAATTCTCATCTACATATTAAAATAAAATTTAATTGAATCGAGCGAACGAGTAAATCACGACTTTGGAAATATGGTTGGTGGAAACCTCATTCGAATAGTGAAATACATACTTTAGATATATGTAATCCTAAATGCAATTTTCATAAATGCAATTTAAATCTAAATTAAAAATTTTCGACTGCGGCTCGTAACCAGCAATAATACAATTAAATGAGAACTGTTCTCAATTAACTCTCTATATACATAGACATAGATGCCACAAGTCTACGATGAGATTTTTTATGTTTCAGATTATTTGACGAAAAGATTATTCAGTACGACGTTTACAAAGTAGAAACTATTGGTGACGCATATATGGTTGTATCAGGACTACCGCAGAGAAATGGTAAAACAATACTTTTTAGAAAATAAAAATTATTCTTCCTAACTTTCATATAATTTTTTATGCAAGAAGATGGCAAGCAATCACTGCTTAAGGCAAAATCTAAGAAATTTGTTTTTACGCAGTATTATTTATAGTTCACCAACTTTTTGAGATAAGTTTTTTTTATTAATAAATATAATGTAAATAACTATTTACTGTTAATTAAGATCACTGATAAGAAAGTGTCGTTCAGGCAATCGCCATGCTTCGGAGATAGCTGACATGTCTCTGTCACTGATGCGTGGTCTGGAAGGGGCTCGGGTCCCGCATAGGCCCGACGAGCTCCTGAAGATCCGCGCAGGGATCAACACTGGCCCTTGCGTAGCAGGCGTGGTAGGGACGACTATGCCCCGCTACTGCCTTTTCGGTGACACGATAAACACGGCAAGCAGGATGGAGACGACAGGCGAAGGTGATTGTTGTCTATTAGATAATATTTCCAAAAAGATCTCAACAATACAAAGAAGTAATACAATACTTCTTCTATACTGTTCGTGCGGTATAAGGTTGATATTTCCTATGGTCTGTGGTGAAAACTATTTGCATGACTGGCTAGTTATTGAACTGACGGATTTGGCTGCACTTTCTTTTTCACTTTCTGCGCGTAGCGAAGTCAATATTTAACATCAAATCAGTGTTAGGACTCGACAACATCGTTGTCGAACCACCGCACAAAGGCGTGCTCCCAGGGCAATGCCACAAGTGCCAAAAATACGGACACGCAGCCCGCAATTGCTTCGCCAGGCCTAGGTGCGTCAAGTGCCTAGGAGACCACGGCACCCCAGACTGCCCCCGACCTAAAGATAAGGCACTCTTAGCTAGCTACGGGCCTCCCGCTTGCGCGCTGTGCCAAAAAGAAGGCCACACAGCCAACTACCTCGGCTGTCCCAACGCGCCTAAGCGCAGGCCCACCAAACCGGCCCCTCAGGCCATCAGAAGACCACCCGTACCGACGGCTGCCTCCTTCCCACCTCTACGCCCCGCGTGGCAGAACCCTATGGCCCCCCGCTTGGGCTAAACCTAACCCGCCTATCATGGCACCCAAATTAGCCGCACAGCCGGCTCCAATTCCAATCCCAGTCCCACCAACACCAGCGACCGGAAGCAACCCCCTGGACTCGCTGAGCCAACTCCTCCGAACCGTCAACATGGCGGAAGTTATGTATTTTGCCCAGCAATACGCTGAAGGCAACTTCTCTTAAAGACTCCTACTCCTTAACCAGTACCAGCACATAGTTGCTGCGTTATCTGTCTAGGGACCCAAAATGGATAGTACACCCCTAAACAATAATAACAATAGCACCACCAGTATCTCTGCTACGCGTAATAATGGTAGAGTCAAACCGCGATCGATTAATGTAGCATTCTACAACGCGAACGGGCTTAAAGAGCAACGCGACGAAATACGTATTTTCTTACGCGACCACCAAATCGATATACTTCTCATTCAGGAGACGTTCTTGAAACCCACGACAAGGGATCCGAACATCCCCAATTATCGAATAGTTAGGAACGATCGTGTCGGCGCCCCGGGCGGCGGCACACTTATTTACTATAAAAAATCTCTCCATTGCGTACCGGTAGACACGCCCGCGCTCACGCATCTCGAGGCCTCCGTCTGTCAGCTGGCTTTAACCGGCCACTCTCCTATCACCATAGCATCAGTTTACCTCCCTTGTAGACCAACCGCAACAATATTGCAATCAGATTTTGAGGCCCTCTTCTCTATAGGAGGAGCCACCATCCTAGCTGGCGACTTCAACAGCAAGCACACCCGATGGAACTCGACACGTACCAACAGTCGAGGCACCGCACTCGACTCGCTATCCGACAGGCTCGACTTTGAAGTCGCTGCCCCCGTCGAACATACGCGCTTTCCATACGTAGAGGGACACACATCGGATGTGCTTGACATTGCACTCTTCAAAAACATTAGTCTCTCCTTATGCGAACCGGAAGTGATACACGAGCTTCACTCCGATCACCAACCAGTTCTCCTCCGGCTAGGGCCTTCAGCAATAGCCGCTCCCCTAACTAAAACTGTCATCAGCTGGCATAAAATCAAATCTAAATTTAACGAACCCAATCCTCCACAACTAGAATCAATCCCTAAAGAATTGAATACCAAACAGGACACGAAAACCGCAATTCGAGCCCTCACAAGCCACGTCAACACCGTCGTCGAGCAATGCTCGAGACAGGTCCCAGCGATGGAAGACCATCGCTGGGCCCTGCCAGACGATGTGCAGGACTTGCTGAGACGCAAGAATGCGGCCACTCGAGCCTATGATAGATATCCCACCGACTCGAATCGTAGACTGCTAGGTAAATTGCAGCGTGAGGTCAAAACACGCATAGCAGACTCACGAAACGAACGGTGGGACTCCACTCTAACATCAGTAAAACCATCCCACGTAGCCTTCTGGAAACTTCCCAAATCCCTCAAGGGTAACGGGATAACAACCATGCCGCCATTAGCCCGCCCGATAGGTGGTTAATAAAGTCAAATATCTAGGCGTCGTCCTCGACTCCCAGCTTAAATTCACCCAGCACGTGACCCAGGTCAGGAACCGGGCGGCCTTCGTACTCGGTCGCCTCTACCCGCTCCTCAATAAATCGTCAAAAATGTCCCTTCGGAACAAGGTGACCTTATATAAGGCAGTAGTTCGCCCTATCATGGCGTACGCAAGCCCCGTCTTCGCTCACATTGCTCCGAAGCAAATACACCGGCTTCAGGTGATTCAAAATCGATTCTTGCGCAGAGCCGAGGGAGCTCCCTGGTTCATGCGCAATATCGACCTACATGTCGATCTAGAATTGCCCACCATCGCGCAATTCCTGAAGTCGGCGTCGCGCCGATATTTCGATTCCGCCGTCGCGCATCCCAACCCACTTATCGTAGGTGCCGTCACCTACAGGCCCTTGCCGCTAAATATTTTGCGCCGCGATTACCGAAGACCGCGTCACGTTCTCGACTTCCCTGACGATGAGACGACTATCGCCATCGAAAGGATCAAAAAACTCAAGAAACACACCAACACACACCGCACTCGCCGGCGAGTGCGGCAAACATATACTAGGTTCCGCCACGTACCTGGCAGGTTTTCCCCTATGAATGATAGAAGCGTTGCTGGAGTTTCTTCCGCCACTTCTTCTCCCAGCAAGTGGTAGTAATGTTAGCTCTAGTAATTCCCCCAGTCAGAAAATAGCTACCGATCGAGCCGAGGTCCGGCCCTCTCGGGCACCCTCGAATCGGAATGCTAAACGCGTGCTGAGTGACAGCCCAAGCCGAGGTCCCCTCTCGGGGACCCTTGAGCCTGATCACTCCATGGAGCGTCCGCCAAAGCGCCCTAAGGGCTTGGCGGCCTCCCAAACCGGTAATAATAATAGCGTGACGGCCCGAGCCGAGGCTCCCCCGGGAGCCCTCGAGCTTAGTCACCATAACGCGCCATAGTACGCCGAGGTTCAGGCTAGGCGCCTCGTGCGCCAGGCCACCTCAAGTCCGTCGGATCTGTAAAGGCCCCTAAGGCCAACAGTGGCTCATCCAGCCCAAAAAAAAAAAAAAAAATTCTGCGCGAAAGAGTTATGTAACAGTTGAGTTAAGTTATAATAAAAGGAATCAGGTATTAAAATAGAGAGACGGATTAAAATTTACACAATATGAATATTTGATATGATCGTTGAAATATTCTAACATATGTTAAGCTATCTACTGTGGATAGAAATAAGTTTCCTGTATCGTAACATTGTAACCATATTCATTGATTCTTTTCTTGCCAGTTTCTATTGGTGTAGTTTTAATTAGGTAACTCCGTTCCTTCTCTAATAGCTATATCTTACAAGGGAGTAAAAGTATCGGGGCGCCTGTATTTGTCAGATGGTGAGATCATCATACACGTGCGCCTTGACATAATCAGGGTTTAACAGTCGTGGCTAATCGACCGGGGGGTAGATAATCGTGAAGAGATAAATATTTAACGGTAAATTGAGTCATAGTTATGCCTATCGATAAAATTCCATCATTACACATCCTCGATAAAATGATAGGACAACTGTCATGTTATTTGCCTTCAATTTTAACGTTTTACACATGAGAACACGCTACAGTAATATTGTAGATGAAGACGAGTATTTTTTTATAAATCGTAGGTACTTCTCAGTTCAAGTGGGTTTAGAACTTATCTGAATCCATCTTGTTCTAGACAGCGTTATACCCAGAAGTCTTAATTCTGCAGTCGTTATTTTTTGTCTGAATTCCGTTTTTCTAGTAAAATAATAAATCACACTTTTGATATAATAAATTTATTCCTACTTCTCGTAATGCATGAACGTTATGTTGTAATTACCCGGATTATGTTTTACTTGATAGCGGCTAAATTTAATGTGATATTAACATTTTCAGCAATGAAAATTCACATTTCTCATTCAACCAAGAAAGCATTGGACGGTATCGGCAATTATGAAATGGAATCGAGAGGAGTTATTGAAATACCGGTAAAGTACTATTGCTTCGGTAAATGTGAAGAGAAATCGCACATCTATTATACCTCTTAATAAAATAATAATTATCTTTTAAGCATGGAATGTAGTCTCATTGCGAAGATATATTTTATATTTCTGAAACTCAGTTACTAGATACCTATTGATACAGCAGAAGTCTAAAGTAGAAGTAAGGGTTTATTTGAAAAATACAAAAATATATTATTATATACTATTATTATTATATACTTTATTGTACACCACAAAGAATTTGATACAATTAGTGTGAAATAAGTCTTAAAAGCTAGGTACAATAAGGCGGTCTTATCGCTAAAAAGCGATCTCTTCCAGACAACCTTAGGACGAGAAAACTAGAAAAAAAATAAACTAATGAATAGTGGGAGGTGGTGTGCTCAATAAACTTACTTAATAACAAAATAGACTTAAATATAATAAGATAAACAAAATTATAATAAACATACATAAACATAAATAAATATATAATATATATAAATAAATACACGAGAGAAGAATTAAATCTGAATATTGCCATTAAAAACTATGGATTACAAAGCGATAGATAATGTTGTTTTACGTCAATTTTAAACTTGTCTACTCAATATTATAATTATAAACAAAAAGAAGTCTATATATGTTTAGTTTTATGTTATATGTTTGCAAATTGAGTTTCATCGACACACATTTGTTATTTATTTTACATTGGGTTTTTAATTCTAATACAATATGCGTATTAAAAACGCAACGTCAATGGTCTAAAAAAATTGTCATGTTATATTATTTTTAAATAACTAGCTTCTCGCTAATTAGCTTTTTGGCCACAATCTTATTTGATTAGTAAGTGAATCAACACATACTATCAAGTAAGTGATAATATCTGTAGCTTGAATTTTTTTATTCACCTTTATCCACGGTTTTTCTGTTATGATTCCGTTTCCTTTTAGTATTACTCCCGTTGACATGAGCATTCATCATCGTCATGATCATCATTTCAGTCTATTTCAGTCGGTTACCACAGTACATAGGCCTCTCTAAAAGACTGCCACGAAGCAAGATCCTGAGCTACGTGCATTAGTAGATTTCCCGTAAATTTACACAGGTCTACACTCTAGTGAGGGTCACCCTACACTGCGATGGCCGATACATGGCTGCCATTCCAGAACCTTCCTTATACATCAGTTATGCGCTCTACAAGCTATATCGCCGGCCCATCGCCACTTCTTGAGCTTGTCTGGTTATGTTTGTTCTATTATCGACATCTACATAAACATAAATGTTACTCAATCTAAATATTTAAGTTACTTTGCTTGACATGTATAAATTCCGAAATAAATTATCTAACCGGAATAAAACTGTTCGTAAAAAACTGACTTTACACAATCGTCAAATTTTTGGAATTTCATGAAGAAAAACTACAAAAATCAAAGGAGCACTGCAAGGCATTACGCATTAGGTTAAGAATTAATTTCATCATCGCCTTCTTAGAGTCTAATATTCCAAATATGCACGAATTTGCATAAACATTATAACAAAATTAAAAAATTACATTAAAACGTTATAACAACCTTACATAAAGACTATGATTAACTTTTTTTTAACGTTTTTGTTAATAGTTGTTTTAAAACAAAGAACACCTATATCTTCATTCAACATATACTAGTAAGCTTCATTTTAAATTTAAATTCTAATCTATCTATTGAACCGAAAAGAAATATGCGCATTCAAACGTCAGTCCGATATTTATATTTAATTTCAGGGTAAGGGTGTCATGGAGACTTTCTGGCTTCAAGGGAAGGTTGGAGGTCTGCAGGAGGAAAGTCCGCGATGCATGCGGCTTCACGACTACGACCAAAACATTCTAGAACTTCTCATTAAATCTTAATGTGGAGTTAACAATTAAATGACAAGAGTGAAAGACAGTGCCAATGAGTAGTTTTATTTCGAATCTTTAAAGTACTGTGAAAGTGTATATAAACATTTAATATGAATTCAATTATAAATTTGCCATGAATTTTGAAAAAGTTAAATAAACACCATCTAAGAAAACCAACGTTATTTTAGTAAATAAAAGTTAAGTGACAGTTTTTCAATTATTATAAAGATTTACAGAACGAAATTATAAAGATGTCTTGAAATTTGACGAAAATTGTTTTCACCGCTGCGCTGCTACAAATTGTTCAGGAAACTCGATAAAAGGTGTCTGGAGTCAAGGTTTTACAATGCAGTGTCCGGTTGGGACCGGTAAAATTTATTCAAATTCAACCCTGATGGCAATCCAGTAAGTGTTATGTGCGCTTATCACAACTAGTCTAGAGCTGATCAAATTATTGACATACCCATACATGGTCCTTTACGACCACCTCGACTCTTTGGTCTTGTGAAGAGACGGTTCGACTCATTGCATTTTGTATCGCGTTTATAAAGAGGAGTTTCTCGGGTTAATGTCTCTGTTACAACCGTAAAGATTGGCACTCCATCGCCATGCGATTTTTACGGAATTCTCTGTACAACTACTTCGTAGAATCCGTTGTCACCACCGCAATTTCTGGATAGATACCACGACGGAACCTTTAAGAGGGGTCTATTTCTGTCGAGTGTCCGTGGGTCGAGGTGAACACCAACGATTGCTTTCATCTCACTTACTCCCCTACACGATATATGAACATTTGCCGCGACAACTCAGTAACCCGGCGCTGGCTTTTAATTCAATACTCTCGAGCACCCTGAGTTCAAATCGCAGCACCGGCATTAATTTTTTTAATGCAATTTTAAGTGCTGACTTATCAAGTGCTAAGCGGTGAAGGAAAACATCTTGAGGAAACCAGTACGTTTTCGAAATAATTATAAAGTAATTTCGAATTCCGAAGATATCTGAAGTTGGCCAAAAGCCATCCGGTCGACGGACTTCAGATATCTTCGGTTGCGTGGTGAAAGAAGTCCCATTGCAAAAAGGCACTTATATTAGTTGCTATTTATTCTATCCTTATAAAATATTATAGCATAAATAACGAGGGGCAAATTAAACCACAACACTTTGGGCAACATTTATTTCACTATGAGATCATACTTTACTTGACTAGACAAACTTTGGGACCGTGACTTTATAAAAAAGTGATACACTAATTTACATCATTAAGTGTTTTAATAAATAACGAATGCAGTCGAACTTAAAAATAACTAAGCTTGTGCCTTATAGAGTTATATAATGCAAGTTAAATAGATTTCTTCTCGCATAATTGTTATTACTTAATGCTTTTGGTAATTTCATCATGTTAAATGGTTATATGTTTTTGAGACCAAAGTTCAAATTTTACAGTTACTATTTTGCAATCCTATTGTATCAGTTTACTATTATAATAGTGAACTGATACAATATGATATGATAGGAATTATGAAAATTAATGGTATTTTAAACTATATGAAAACCGTAGGCTTAGCTTTATTATAGGCCTGAGGCCTAATGAACTTAATAGCAAATGAACTATCCTAGAAGGAAAACGGCAAAAAGAGAGAGAGAGAAATAACTCTATATATATATAACTCTACCCAAGTACCACTAATCTCTGATAATCTCTAAAATAAACGGCCCAGACCTAGGTTTTAGTTTACACTGATGTTATCAAATAACTCACTAGTGCTTGACATATTCTTGTCTCTCTTTGTTATATGCTAAATTATTTGCGTTTAATGTTATCAGATTCCTTTAATTGAGATTTTGTTCGCATATCAATTTTTGAACGTAGTCTTTCAAATAATTCATGTTCAAGTTCAGGTATTTATATTGTAAACATCAGAATTATACTTAACATATTGAAAAGAACTTTAGAATGTGACACACAACATACAAATCTGTAATAAATTATCATCATCTCTTCTTTATCTAGACATCTTAAATTAATAAAACATTATTCATTGCTGCGCTCTAATCGATTCCGGCTGATATCTCGGCGAAGCCCTGCCTTTGGAGTGGATCCTCGCTAGGAAACTGGGCGTACAGTCCAGGGAGGAGCTAGTGGGCCTTACGGGTGACGGATCTGTTCGCCCATCTAACCAGTATGTCATCATTTCTCCTTTGCCCTGTTAAGGTAGAACATATGATATGTTTATTGCGTAATTTTGTACCTGTTGAAGGAAATAAGTACGTACGTAATAGGTGAACGTAAGAATTTGGAGAGGTAATTTTATTAAAATTTGTAGAAAAAAAGAGTATGTTTTTGTTTATTTTAAATAAATGACTGAGCTGAGAATGCCTGGAGCCATTTAGTGTAGTTGGATGCATAAATATAGAAGCATATTATTAGTAATAATCACTTATTCAACTCACTTTAACGTCCACGACCCCTCTGGGAGACATTATGAATCGTCCAGATTTGTCCAACGCTCTCTTAACATCTTCCGAGATTTGTATCTTCATCGCTAAAAGCGAATTCCTTTTACATTAATGATTTGACCAATAGATATGACATATTGTATTAAGTCAGCACGTTTTTAAGTTGGCTAGGTTTTTTTAAACTCGAATAATATCGCAAGGACAACGAAATTATGAAACGTACGTTCTCCCGTACTCTCCATTCTGCTAGCGGTGTTAATGGTATCCCCGAAAAGGCAGTATCTGGGCATTTTGCTCCCAACGATGCCGGCGACGCATGGGCCAGTATGGATTCCACTGCGCATACAGAGCATCTGAAAGGAACAATGCAACTACTATTCAATTCATACAACAGCAATTTACCGTTCACAGGCTTTTCTCCTTGAGCAAATGTAACAAAAGCCACGGGCTAAAGCACCTACATATTGTGTCATCGCAACTAAAATGTTTTCAAACTTTCATTTTATTTTTAAATTATAAAGATTTGGTCCACAAGTACTATTTAAAAATAAGCTCAGTGAAATATGGTCTCTATTCTTATCCCGTCTGGGTTAACGATGCGTAATCTTGTTTTTACTGTTATTGCTATTCAATTCTATAATAATATTTGTTGATTTATAAAACAAGATTCACCGCCATCTATTGTCAGAACTTCAAATTGGCCCTTCGAAGTGTTGAAAATATGGCCACTTAAGCAAATAATTTGAGCAATTAGCTTTAGCTGTAAAATAAAATAATAGCGGTGTAATTGTATTGAAACGACATTTATGGAGTCATGCAAAGCATTGGGGTCTGTTTGAGCAAGAACACTGAGACGATTATTACCTAAGTAGGTACCTGATCGGGCCGGTGCGGGAGGCGGCACATAGATGTCGCTTCTAGAAGCTCCAAAGCCATGCTCGCAATTTCTGTCGCATGTTTATTACCTGAAATCGATATATCAATAATTGTTATACTTAGATAAATAAAAAAAGTTAAGTTTTTATATTTTTATTCACATAATTATTTAATGGTTAATAATTATGTAAATGTTTCAATGACTAGGCTCGTTTATAGTAAGAGAGGGTTTAGTAACTAAGTTAAGTGCTCTTTGGCTCTTTAAATAAAATACTCATTTACACGTGATAAGTTAGTTTCGGAGGATCTTTGTAACAAAACATAACCAGATCTTACAAGACTCGTATAAATATAACTTCAAAGTCACACAGATTATTTCAGAGCAGGTTAACATTACAGTAGCAAAAGTATGACGTACCATTTCGCACCGGCAGCCCCGATGCCACCATGTACGAATCACCAATTGTCTCAATCTTGTACACGTCGTAGCACTCTATTCTTTCGTCGAACAGCTTGTAAACTGAATTAAGGAAACTGATCACCTGAAACATTTTTGACATTTTGACCTCATGCGTTTATCTCATACTGAATAAGTTTATGGTAAATCCTTCAAGCATTAATTTGATAACATTGTGGGCACTCAAACCTGAAGAGTACAAATTGTCTTTGTAAGTTATTTATATATTATGTTATATGGAAAGAAAGAGAAATAAACGAAGAGAAAGGTAAGATATCTTTTTTTTTTGTCCTTACGAACCTGATACGGAGTTGATACAGCCGCTATAGCAGTAAAACCCACTATGTCGCTGAAGTAAACGGTGACCGAAGCAAAGAATTCGGCGGGAACCTTAAAATAAAAATAATTGGAATCAACAACGCGCAGAGATAGGACAAATGGATCTACGTTTTATTCTACAAATTATATAAATAATTAATTATTACGCAATACTCGATAATAACCTTTCATTTAAGTATCGTCATTATACGAGACGTATTGTTGAATAATTGCGTAGTGGTTTGAAAACAGTCATTTTTCCAATTGAAAAACTATATTCATAAAAATATAAACCTAATTTGGTCGAAATAAGATGATACTTTTGCTATTCGTACAACGGGATTATATGACACGGGTGCAGGTAGCAGTTTCTGTCGTAGAAAATCGTAATGAGAAATGCCACAGACCCGGAAATAATTTTCGTAGTCACGCCTTTATCTATCACTGAGTTAGTTAAGGGTTGGCAAAGATTTTGTTAACTTGGCTCTTAATGCCATCACTGTTCATGAGCACCTATAATTACATAAAATTTGGTGAACTTCGCTCACTTTTTACCGTCTCTGATAAAAACATTTTACCTGCTGAGTTTGTTTCAACTGCTTAGCAACACTTGGCGGCAACATTTGATACAAAAGCGAATCGCTGAGTTCCTTCTCGTATTCTAACTCTCGCGCTTTTTCTGACAGGTTTCTTGCATAAACCTGCAATCAAAAATAATAAAAATTGCTTTAAAATGACGAGCCTAATATAAATATTATATGATATATAATCCTCCTAAATTGTTGTCGAAATCTTCTTTGAGAGGGCTCTGGTGCGCACTAAGCAACATCTCATCGGTAGGGCTTTGTAAACACGATATTCCTGGGGCACCAATAGTTCCTGATACGCTCATATCTCGTTAAGCACTTTTAGTTTCTGTAACATGAGCCATCAACAGCCAGATATCTTGTACGAAGATTTGACTGATGTTATGAAAACGTTTGTGTTCATAATTTTTTTTTATCATTTACTAGAACTTTTCTTATTTCAATGGGGAAATTTGGTCCATAACAACTTAAAAATGTGTTAATTATGGATTTTTTTTTTGTTGTTACAAAGTTGAACGTTAAGTACAGATGTGAGCGTTAGTATTAAAAGTAGGTATTAATAAAAGACTATTATTTCATTAAAAAGACCCCAGACTTAATTAAAGCGTAAGTAATATTTTAAAAATATTAAAAAAAAACCGTATGTAGAATCTATGTATATGAGTACATGATGAGAAGGTAACATCACTATATACATTACGAGGCTTTACCAATACAAACTATAGAAATAACATTGAAAACAGGTGGTGTGTGTATGTATTCCAAGTTACGAGTGTATTAGTATCATAATTTCAACATTCGCGACCTACTGAAAATCTACACAAATAATCTAGAGGACACTTCAAAAAGAAAGTAAAGTAAAGTAACAGCCTATGCATGCCCCACTGCTGGGCAAAGGCCTCCTCTATATAGAGGGTATCAGGGCATAGTCCACCACGCGGCCCCACTGCGGATTGGCGGACATAAATAAAAATATTTCGAAGATATTTCACATATCTTCGAAATATTTTTTTTAGTTATTATTTCGAAAATATGCAGGTTTCCCCACGATGTTTTCCTTCACCGCAGAGCACGTGATAAGCCAGCACTTAAAGTTAAAAACTTCATTGGTGCCGGAACCGGGGATCGAACTCAGGTTGCTCGAGTACATTGAATTAAAACGAGCGCCCGGACACTGAGCTATCACGGCTCAGCTTTCCAATCCTGTGTGGAGAAGGAACACTATACATATTCCAGATCTCAACTGACACCTTACACGCACCTGAATCGTGTTCACGGCGTTGCGCACTAAAGCGATGATTATTGGCGAGACCACGCACACTAGCACAAGTATTCCGGCACACACCGCTTCACTTCGTCTCGCTTCAGTGAGGCTCTCATTCACACCTTCCCTGGAAGTAGTTAGAAGATTTTGATATATATTATTGCGAGTATTTTTATAGAGTCTTCAAGGCGTTGATCTTTCTTAAGAGAACTGGGCTGTGAAGAGTTCTTACGGACTAAAACCCTGTAGTCTATCATCTTCAGTGCTGAGAGGACTGATCTCTTTGGAAGATTAGTGTGGACAGATTAACCATTCCTTTATCAGAATACACGGAGATTGTTTTGCTGCGTACTCCCGAACTAGTGTGTTCGTTCAAGAGAAAGTAAATTATAAAGTTGTAAACATTTGTGAATGTTTCTGGAACAACATTTCTTTTAAGCTCATATATAATTTATACTTAGAAGTTGACAGATAGAAGTAATAATTTCTTATACTTTGCCTTTTAAATGCTAGTTACAAACAAAAGCGATGTTAAATTTTGACAACTTCACATCGTTTTTCTGATATTAGAAAAGACATTTCAATGACATTGCCATTTATCCCCTTCTCCACAAACCGAAGAAAGTTGTCACCAAACATTAGTTTAGTTGAAGTTATTGTATTAATCCATTAGAAAGAAAATCCTTAAGAGTTGAAACGTATAAATAATAGGGGGTATAAAGTAGAGAAACGGCCAAAGTTGAAATTGTTTGAGGGGTTTTTTTGTTTTCTCAACGTAAGCTTATAAATACATTTAATGAAACTCTAAAGAAACTTTATACTACATACATTTATATTACAACCGGATTGTTGATTTGAAATTTATGATATTCTAATATAACAATAACTATTCATTTAAACTGTATGTTTACAATAAAATAATTTGTTCTACACGTGATGAAACTGCTCATTAAATTCTTTAACCATTAAATAATATAGACTAAAATGAAAAAGGCAGGTTGATAAACATCAACACAATTCAACTTTATTTCCAGTTAATAGAATCGCAATTACGGTATTCCTCGGGAATTTGTTAAAGCCGAGATTCGCGTTTGATACTTCGATCACGTATCGAATTAAATCACTACATTTCACTTCTAATCAACTGAACTAGGAAATTGCACCAATGGACAAACAGGGGTTGAACTAGATAAAGTAATTGATTCTCTGACGGCGTACGCGGATATTACCCACCATAAATATATCGGTGTATAATGAACTAGGCCCAGTCCTGTTTCTAAATAGTCTAAAGTTTATACTTTGCGAGCCGCTGACTGGACATCACGCATATGTGCGCATTTTGTAGTTGAATTTTATTAGCTGGACTAACCTGTGTTGTCTGCATAATTTCATTGCCAGTTGTTGAGGTGTCGATTCAACGTTATTTGATCAAAAAAACTGTAAATAAGTCCGTGACCACAATATTAAGCTATGAACGCGCGTAGGCGAAACGTCAAAACATAGGTACTGCTCGCAAGTACTTGGCAACACTGGACTATATTACTGCCAAACGCGTACTAAGATTCAGATGAGCATGCGAGTGACCAAAAAACCGACCAAGTGCAAGTAGGACTCGCGCAAGAACGGCTCCTTGCCATTACTTATAAAAACTGCGTCATCATGTCAACAAAAAATCATGTCTGTTGTATGGCACCTAAATATTTTTTAAGTCGTGGTTCTTAGTATTTTTGTTGTTGTAGCGGCGACGGAAATACATCATCACTGAAAATTTTAACTGTTTAACTATCACGGTTCATGAGATACAGCCTGGTAACAGACAGACAGACAGACAGAGTCTTATTAATAGGGTCCCCTTTTACCTTTTGGGTACGGAATCCTAAAAATTTTGAACTTGCATGTGTAACTACTATTGTAACTAATTGGCAGTTAGACTAGCTCGCAACGTGTAAACTGTTTGAAGCAATAATTGTCTACGGACTGTTAAAACGAATAAAACAATGCCTGAAGCAGCAATTGATCTATACATTATAGACAAATCTATTCTTATAGATAAGTTGAAAAAACGAAAAGACATTGGTGGCACCACTTACAGTGTTTGACAGTCAATAGGCTACACAACCAGCTATTCTATACAGGCGTGACTTATGTCGGACTCAAAATCAGCGTTTCGTTACTTATTTAGTTCAACATTTCGTCACCTGATGTACTGACGAAGTTGCTTCTGCACCGCCCTCAGCTTGTCCAGCAGAGTAGCTGTTTGATCGAAGTACTCTATCGCGTCGCTAACACTGCCCTCTTGATGTTTATTGTCTACGATTTGCTGATTCCTGTGGAGTTCGATTGGAATATCGGACGTTTTTTATCACAGAATGCTTGTAAATATTCTTACAGATATATATTACTCGATTTGTCCACATTCTATCAATTGTTAAGCAATTTTGCTTACATATATTTAATTTCTCAAGTATTAAATGGTATGAAAAGAATAGAAAACACCAAGTCAGTAAACCGTTGATCTCAACTCGAATTTCAACTCGAAACACACTGGGGTACAAATTTTAGTTACGTGGAAAACAAAACATTTTAAATATACAGGGAAGACCAAAAAACGAATGTATATGTAGAACCATTAGGAATTTCCTTACATTTGAATAGAATACAATTACTAAACAAGGACATCGACGTTATAAATATGAAATATTTTTTATTCAACTTTATGTAATAGTTTACGCGAGCAAAAACATTGGAGAATTACGATTATTGTTATAACGTGCATCTGTTATAGTCGAAAAACAACAAATAAAGCCCAGAACTTAGAACGCAAATAATAATCCTGTTCAAAACAAGTACATAAATTCGACTTAAACAAAGAGAAGTCATGATTTAATATCAAAACTATGAACTGACTTGATTGTAGCCGTGTGAGGCCCTTACGAAAGAAATTTTATCTTTAAAACAATATTTTATCTTCTTTAGCACTTATCGATAAATGTGCTATTTTTGAACCGTCTACAAGCATTACTTATGTATTTACTATATTGCATTTGTAAATTATTTAAAATGTTACAATTTTCTCGCTTAGTCAACAATTTCAACGTAAGCCTGAAATCTTGTCGCATTTTCTTTGTTTTGTTGCCCGATATTTTTTACAGAGTCCAAGTCAAATCTAAAATATTTGCTTAAAGATTATTTCAAGCACTTATTATTGATAATCTTACCACCTACCGTTAATTTTGATAAAAGACAATTTATTTTGAAAGAAGCCGTCATTTCTTTACACAGTACTATGTTGATATTCTTAAGATGTATTGATAATTACATTACTCTAGTTTGCAAAATTGCAAAATGTGCAAGTGTCGCAACCATTACCTTACTGCAGCCAAATTATTGATGCATACCGTCTATCTAGCATCTGCGCAACTCGTGTGCTTTCGATATTTTATATTCAGGTTAATTTTCAATATCGTTTGAATTTTAACTCTTATTTTTATAAAACATGTAGAAGATATTTTTACAAAAAAAAATTGCTTTTGTTAAAAAAATTATGCAAAGAAAGGCTGTAGGTTTTTTTTTAAATATTATTATATATTATGTTATTTACCTTTCAATTAAATCTAAAATTTGAGTAATTAAAGCATGGTGCTATATATATCTTCCATTTTCCGGGTACAGGTATATTATACATTCTTACATTTTTTGCATATGAAATACTTAACAGCATTTTTAATGTGTTTATTAAATAAGTTATATAACATGTCAAAAAGTAAAGTAAAAGTCTTTACTAGTGGGCAAAGGTCAGAGAGTATTACCAAAAATCGACCACGCGTTTTCAAATATATCCGAAGCCCGCCCATCCGCAATGGGGTCGCGTGGTGGACTATGTATGCCCTAATGTCCTCTGTTCAGAGGAGGTCTTTGCCCAGCAGTGAGAAATTGAAAACAGGCTGTCACTTTAACTTTACTTACTAGGTGAAGGAACTTTGTTTCTGTTAGGCTATTTCTTTTCTTTAACTCGTTATTTATAATTTGATGATACGCAGACACTTACTTCTTTTCAAGCACTTGGTATTCAGGACTGTCCTCCTTGATGTCCATGTGAAGCGGAATCAGCGATGGGACAAGATTCAAAGTGTTGTCAAGAAGATCACGCCCAAGCACCATGTGCGCTATGTATCTGGGAAAGGACTTGGTTTAAAAAATTCACATCCTTGCCTACGCTGAATGCATTATAGGTGCGTAAATGATTGTTTATATTGAATCCGAAATTTTAGATATCACATCAAATAAATTTTAATGTAACTGTGAATCTAGAATTAAGAGTACGGGAAAAATATATAGGACAGGTTTTCAACTCGTGCCCGTTTAAACAAGAAGAAACGCCTACGAAACTACGAAGGTGCGACAATTAGTGCGAATTAATTGTTTTAGCGCTAAAAGATAATCAGTCAGTCAGTCTAGGGATATATAAAATTTGTAATTATCGATAACATCTGTCCGTTCGATAATAAATGAACTCGAAAAATATGACATGTATAGTCCCATGAAGTCATCTTCTCTTTTGGAACTAGTTATACAAAAAAAGTGAAACTTGTTTTTTTATTTGAAATTCGGTGTTTGTTTCGTAGAAAGATGATACCATTATCCAGCATTGTTGCTTAATAAAGAAAACGAACGTAAGTGTGGTACCACTAACATTGGCACGAATACTTTTATCTGGTTCTACTGTTTTTGCTTAAGTGAAGTCATCGTGTACGGACCGTTTATGGCCGAAACTAAAAAAAAAATAACTGATTTCGCTTTTTCATAACAACGCTTTCTAAATCTGTTACCAAATACTTAATATCCTAAACTAAAACCCACCTCTCGTGCGATCGCGATTGCAAATAACCTCTAGCGAAGTAGTTGATGCCGAGCACAGACGCTATACCCTTACACTCGATACTGCGCAGTAAGTTCTTAAAGCCCACCAGGTACCTGAAACAATATTCCAGTTAACAATGGCTTAGTTTAATTCAAGGCAGTCATTATACCAGCAGTTAGCAAATTTAGTCCAGAGAACAACACGGAACCTCGAGCACATAATGCGTTTTTTTTAATAATACACAGCATTCAAAAATATATTCGTAATGAAGTTTACAGTGCCCATGTGATTCACAGGAGCAGGCACCTAGGTTGATAACCGTCCTCTGTAATAAAAGCAATCCATTACATCTTTATATATAAATGAAGCCGCTTGCTTGTTCTGAAACTTGACTTCTGAACTTTGATGACTCCGTGGCGCAGAAACAAAAGCAAGCAGAAAAAAGAAACTAAGGTAGATGGTACTAAGACAATGATTATGATTGCGCAGCGATAAATCTAACGCTTGCTAACGATATATCATTCAGCGAAAGTGCTTGTTACAATTTGCACGAAATTCTGTTTTCAAGTATCTGCACCGTTATTGATTACCCACCGATAAACTTGCATACATAACAATGTCGTTATTTGGGATGAATAAAAATCTCGGGAACAAAAAATAATCTTAGATTTGTCGCTAATAATTTAGTTAGTTTCTACACCATTCCAAGAGTCTACTTCCTTAACCAGTTCCGAGAGTAACCGCATTTTACACCAGTTTAACATATTTTAACTACTTTTTCATATCCGTCAGAAATTAAAAGCCTATATATACACGTGAAAACGACATTTTTGCACCAGCCAACCCACTTTCCACTTGTTGTGAACATAATGCGTCACTTCCCGTATAACTTTTAATCGAAGATGTTCACAGGCGTCGATCTGAATTAACCCCGATACTCGGTAAATACTACTTTCATTAGAGTCCTCATGTTTGTTTTATACTCCTGTTTTTTTCCTCTTTCGAATTTCAAGTTAAATTGAGTTCAATTTACCCTAGGGTGTATGAACTATTCATGTTTCACTTTAGGTTTTTCTCATCACGAATGTTTCGGTAATAATTAAATGACATGATTATCTTTTTCTTTTCGAGAATTTACTACGATGAAAAACTGAAGACAGCTAACATGATAATTGCTTATTGTGAAAAGATATATTTATCGTTTGCCTTATAAAGGTATTTTAAAACTTCTCTTATTAACTGCACCTGAATTAAATAGGTACACGAGATGCCAGGAAATGTTTCACGGAAATATTCAAAGAGGAATTCGAAACCACAAACTAAGTTTCGACAGTTATGAAATATTTTCTTTCATTTAAGTCTGGTTAAAATTCTACTGACGCATCACTGTAAGTTGTAGATATAAACAAAAAATGCAGAAAATATTTTCAATAATCGATCTTAGTTCGGATCTCAGATATAACCAGGAACTATCACACCTGTACCACCGTGGAGTAGACACAGGTAGTATATTGTAGATACTTATAGACTGCTGTTTTTTCGCAACTCTTACATAGTCATTTCTATCGTTATTACTCTAAATGCTCTTCGACAGTAGATACTATTTTGACATCTTTCTATCTAGTTAATATTCAATTATATAAAACGAATCTTTTAACAACTTGTAGTAGATGGAAATTAACGTTCCTCGGGGTAGTTATTATCAAACATATGTATTTACTTTCCCGATGACTGGGTAGTGTAGTTGCTAAGCTATTATTTCGCGTATTAGACTACCGTTGAGTTAAATTGTTTTCTTTCCTTCCTCCTTTTAAACAGTGTTCTGTTTACTATCGCCAGTTGATAATTTTTCGCTCGTACATCTTTATTCAACATTAGCGGCCCGCCCCGGCTTCGCACGGGTATTTAACAAAATTTTTAAAACTAAAAATTATCATACACATAAAATATTCCGAATATTTCGACTTTGGTGAATAATTTTATGAATTTCTTCATCTTTTAATGAATTACCCTTGAAATTACGTCATGAAGATCGAAAGACCGCTGACCAGATAATGGATCCGCTTTAATTACGGGACATCCGGGGTTACACGTAAAAGTGACAAAGAAGTCTGGTCTCCCATAGTTTCGGTCATAAATCATCGCATTCCTTGGTTTTTTTGCTGACCGATATTTGATGAGCCAATGTCTTGATTTAAAGCGTCTCTAAGATGAATGTCTCACCAGCCCTCAGACTCTGGTGGCCCACTTTATTTAAAGATGGCAACTCATTTGCAACCCTACAGGTGTTGAAAATATCCATGGGCGGCGGTTATTACTTAACATCAGGTGAACCGCTAGCTCGTTTGCTACTCTATCACCATTCATCGTTTGTGAAAATTTCAACTGTCTATCACGATTCATGAGATACAACCTGGTAACATATGGACAGACATACGTACATACAGACGGACAGCGGAGTCTTAGTAATAGGGTGCCGTTTTACCCTTTGGATACGGAACCCTAATAAGTCCCAGTAATAATGCAATGGCTTAAAACAGGTAGCTCTAACCATCAACCTAAATGCATACAATTGCATGCATGTCACAGTTTTGTTACGCACTGTACCTTGCTGTGGAATAGTCAAATAATAACCGTCTTCTCTCATTACGACGATTAAGGGATATTATAGTGGATCATGCAATCGGTGTAACTCAGAGACCCTTTTAAGTTGGCCGTGTCTACCGTGCAGCACTATATCTCTGGGGCATTTTATGGTTCGCCACCCAAAGGGTAAAATGGGACTCTATTACTAAGACTCCGCTGTCTGTTTGTCCCTCTGTCAACTGTATCTTATGAACCGTGATAGTTACACAGTTGAAATTTGGCAACTTAAAGTCAGGCAGGCGGCTGGTTGTAAAAATATGGCCAAAACCGCCTACAACATGATTCATATTGTTCCGACCCCACCTAGGTGGGATAGAGGCAGGAAGATGATGATGACTTGTATACTAAACTTGTCCCTCTATTTTAAAAGTTTGCGTTAAACAAAGTCATTTGAAAGAGGCTATTGTACTTTCGGATGTTGGTTAAAAATGTTCAGATGGTGAATGAATTATCAAAAGATTTTTTATTGGATGTGGTAGCTCCTCAATATTGGGGAGACTAACTTTTCCAGAAGCACAGCACATACCATTTGGTTCATCGATCGTTACTGTGAGCTAAAACTCGATTACGAACTCTATTCGTTGACATTTGTTCTCTTTCTCTCGGCGTTGGAAACGCTCAGAGCTCCCTAGTGTGAATTTGTATATTTATATTATTCTGCTCTTCAAGCCACTGCAAACACTCTACTTGACTCTCTCCGACTTGTAAGACGATTTTCAGTTTCCGGTAAAGATTCTTCATTACGACGTATTTTTTATGCCCTCGCTTGGGAACTTTTTCTAGAAAGATGAGATCTTGATCTTTGGGCATTTTAAAATGATGTTGAACAGGAATTACCACTAAAAATGTGATTGAAGATTTATAAGAAGTACTAAGTCAGTCACTAAGCTGTTTGGATAGTTAAATAATTTTAACAATTAACAATATACTAACATTTTTAAACTTGTGATATCTTTCGAATGGAATGTCCGAATTTGATAATTCAAAAAGTTATATAAAGATAGTGAAACAGTCTTAAATAAGAAGTAATTTATTTTTATAAGGATTAATACCAAGATACAAATAAAGAGCCTTTTCTAGCGGCGGCATTTCAATCAAAATTTTAAAATAAAAGAACACTTATTGCGGCATAACTATAATAGTTAGACATATGCTCTCACGACACTTTTTGTAAATAATAATGTGTTCTGCAAAGTCGTAGTACATAATTTTATTCTATCATCAATAGTTTTCGCAGCGCACGCGATTTAAAGAATATTATAGGTAATTTTTGTACACCTTGAGTAACATTATTGGAGTTTTAGTAAGGACCCCTAATTTTTTTGAAAATATAATATAGCCTATATCAAGCAGGAATAATGTAAACAGTGAAAGAATTTTTTAAATCGGTTCAGTAGTTTCGGAGCCTATTCAATACATACAAACAATCAAATCTTTCCTCTTTATATAATAGATAGAAGAAGAAGATAGGAGCTTACACTTAGTAAGTATAAGCTCCTACGTTGAATAAGATATTTGAATTTATCATTTTGATAATGTAAGGAATTATTATATAAAACCGAGCATCCAGTGTAAGGTTAAGTTATGAAACTGAGCATGCCACGTGTCACGTGACGATTATTTAATAAGATTATGGCTCGTATTCTGAAACGGTCCTGCGTAGGGCATTGTCTCTGAAGTGACATTATCAATTAATAGCGCTCCAGAAACTTGCAACGGCATTGTAAACTTACATCTGTCACTTGCCAGATCGTTTTATAATCTCGTTAATTCGTATCACTCGTTACAATGGTATGGGTGAATAGCGCCAGTAGCGTATTCAAATCACAATATACGTATCGATTATTTTTCTCTCATTCTACTCTCACATACACTTATGAAATAAAGAAAGAAAACATTTATTGCTCAAATACGCCACATGTACATTTAAACCATAAACATAAAAAATACATAGTAAGAAGAAAAAAAAAAGAGGAATAAAAAAATATTAAACACATCACACATTTTACGCACACAATTGTGTGTGGCGTATACGGTAAACAGATCGCACTCAGCTTAATGTTGCTACGAGACTACAGCGCTGGTTTTCAGTGGGCCTGTGCATTAAGTGACGTACGGACGTTCACACAGTAATTCAAAGACTAATAACAATTAACATAGATTACATGAATGAACTAACTGGATTTAATGAAAAAAAAAAGAAAAAGAATGTCCGAAACATTTATGTCAACTTATGTGTACTGTCTGTCCTAGTGTGTAAATTTACAGGCTTCCACTTATCATTGTTAATGCTCAAATTGTAGATCAAGTTTCAAAAATATTTTCGGCGCTGCGGGATACGAACTTGCGTTCAGACGTCTAAAAAACATAGCTAAGCGGCTAATTATCTTGTTCAGTTGGTTAGATTCAAGTTTCATATTTAGTTAGTAGTTTTAACGGTGGCAGGGCCACGCAGCAGCCTCGGCTGTTGCTCGAATGGGCAGGCCCGTCCGGGTAAGTACCACGTCCTCACAGAAGACCGGCGTAAAGTGGAAGTATGACAAATACTTTCGCGTTTCGTCTGGTGAGTGAGGTGACCGGAGCCCAATTTTCAAAAGGTTGTCAACGCATCTGTAACCCTCTGGTGTAGCAGATGTCTATGGGCGGCGGTATTCACTTAACATCAGGTGAACCGTCTGCTCGACAACTTTTCACATAAAAAAAAAAAAAAGTTCTGCACTACAAGCACGAAAAACCCTTACATTTTTCTTTTTATTTCAACTCGGTGATTCGCGGCGATATGGATGTAAGACATTTTGTAAGCGCCGCCTGAGAACATTCGTTACTTACTACAAATGCTTATGCTTGAAGACAGTTAATCCAATGCAGTACTACCACCATCTAAGATCGAGATTAAATTATCAAGACACTGCAAGAAAGTGTTTATGACGTATACTCTTTACTCAACTACTATTCACACCCGTAAAAATTTTTCCCGATATAATCCTAAGCGACCTTTGTCAAATGCAACAGTCATTCTCACGTTTAAAATGTAATCTTTTAACACCGAGTTTACACGTAATTGAAAGAAAAAAAAATCTGTCAGCATATTAGGACACCTTTGATAATATTAGGGGGCCTTGTTTTCTTACCTTGGAATTAATTTTCACTTTCAACCCCATACACTGTACGGCTTAATTGGACAGACGACGTTGATAGCTGTAAGAAAACAGGAAACTTCCAAAACGTACACACATTACGTTCGTTAAATATAGATATACCTCCATATAGTGCTGCTGTCAGTGTCTTTTATCTCCTTGGTAAGATGGTTGAGCAGGGCTGCGTTCGCGTTGGTATACCATTCCACCGCCTCCGTCATGGACGTTCCAGGGTTGATGTTAGCTCTGTGGAATACATGTTTGATTTAAAACGGATAAAAAAAAAACAAAAACAACCTTTTAAAGAAAACAAAAGTTTTAAACGTTGCAATGGAAAAAGCGGCTCACCACCGAGCCACAGGCAGACTGGAACTGTGGGGCCTGTGGGCCACCATGTAACTGTGCGAAACTCAATTTTATAAGTGTTTTAATATACTGCTGGTCTTCAATAAGCCATGGGGCTTCACAGGTTGATTCGAACACAAGCATTAGCTCAAACGGTTGTGTGATAGCATATTATATAAACATAGAAAAAATATCATTAGAAACTGCACGGGCGACCCCCGAGTCAACTGTTCAGAGGCTGTGGGCGCCATGGGAGTCGGTGCTAAGAAGCAACAAGCCACCCGTCATCCAGCGATGTAGCGCAGCTCATTCTGGTATACCGTTACATATACTCGTAGTAGAAGTAGGCCACGCAAGAGTGTTCGCTGTTGCACGAATGGGCAGGTCCGTGCGGTTTAGTAACACGACCTCACAGAAGATGGGCGTGAAGTAGAAGTGTAGCACTACTGCGTTTCGTCTGGTGAGTGAGGTAGCCAGGGCCCACTTTATTAAAAGGTGGCAACGCATCTGTAGCCCTACGGGTGTTGCAAATGTCCATACGCGGTGGTTACCATTTAACATCAGGTAAAACGTCAGCTCATTTGCCACTTTCTAACATAAAAAATTAATTACATGCATAGTTTGTTCAGAACTTAAAGAGTTTTAAAGAAATTCATTCAGTTGTTTCATGTATCTATCAGTTCTTCTTTTTAGCTCAAAGCCATTGTATTCTTGTCACGTATAAATCGTTTTAAGGAATGCGGGATTTGATGTTGTGTAACAGATTATGTAATAGTTAAATAAACCTCCTTCCCACGGTTCTTTCACTGGAAAAGATATTTAAATATTATCTTTAAGAAAATATAATTAAAAAGAAAACTGAGAGACGATCAGAAACGTAATACAATTTATTCCAATGTCACGCTGTCAATTCAATTTATTCTAATGTCTCACTTTACGTAAAGTGAACTTTTCCTCATTGATTTTGAGCTTTTTCAATTTCAAATTAATCTGACGTTTTTATTATGAAAATAATCTTCGAAGATTCCAATGTGGACTAAATACATACAAACAGACAGGTGAAAATAATAAAAGCGTCTTGATATTAATAATACAATTCTACTGTAAATTTTTCAAGTTCGAGACATGCACCCATCTAAATACGATTTCTTCAGAAATATCCGCGTAAATAATCTTCCGTAAGTTGTTTACCAAACGAATCAAAAGTTTAGTTTCAATTTTCGTATAAAATACTAGATGTTTAATGAAAATCGTTCATACGTTATCCATTCATTTGCGAGAGTGGAAAATATTAATAAACGAACTGAGTAAGTAACATAAATACGAGTACGTGACCGGGATCAGGGTGTTAGCATTACGTTATTGGCTACTTTGCGGTGCGGAAAGATTCGTACAAATTCTACGTGTAATTACTGCCTTTAGTTTGTCCACAGTAAAGTTTGCAGACGCGTCGTTTGAGCTGAACAACTGATGATGGCAGCAGTTTTAGAGATCACTATGTCGTAATTAAATAAGAAATTAATAAATTAAGTAAAAATATTAATATTAAGGAATAGTAACATCTAACTAAAATCAATAATTAGATAGAATCGTTCTTTCGATCTTCTTTTTTTTTCGGCAACTTGATTAAATGCGTAAATCCAAATCTTATTAAAAACTTTATTTAATTTTCTTTAACAGTCTGCTATTAGTTTCAGCAATAGATCAACTTTTAGACTAAGTTCCGGTGAAAGAATCACCACGTAAACACAGCTTCCACTGTTGTTTCACTTATTTAATTAATATTTAAAGATTAAATGTTAAGTTTATGACATTTGACCTTTGAAATGTCGAATGACCTTCATATCAATGATGGCATAGGTCAAAAAAGCATTTGAACACTAAGTATGACGAGATTTTTTTAAGCTGTTAAAATACTGTCTATCGTGTGACCTTTGTTACATTGAAACTTTCCATATAGAAAGAGCAGAGTAAAAACAATTTTAGCATGAGTAAAAAACAACACAGCAAATTGATCCCAGACGCTAATGTCTGATAAATATTAATGATTATTCAAATTCCCTATCACGGCTCGTAAATTTAAAACTAAAGTAAGCAATATTGTCTCCCTTATCATTTATCAATCGGAGGTGTGCCTGTAGACGTCAATCTTTGGATAGACTTTTACGACAACACTAAAAATTGACAATAAATTTCGTTAATTACATTTCGTTATTGTTATGTTATTATTGTATGTTTATATTTACGATTTAACAACTTTGATTTGGCAATGTAAGCTGCTGATAATAATCGATTCTACAGAGAAATTATATAGGTGTATCAATAATGAGCTATGTTATTCTACGAGCAATATGACCCATTGAAACTTCAACCATGAATCTTCTGAGCTACTTCGCTACGCTATATTCTATATATTTGTTGAAACCTAATAAACACGGGTGAAAGAGGAAGGCACTTCAGTTATTCTCTGTCAGGTATTAAAAACCAGAGGACGTTTCACAGCGCGATTTTATTAACTTCACCTGTGTGTGAATGAATCACGAATTTTATTTTATCCAGACATCCGTATAGTTTAGAATTTTTTAACATTACGTACATTATATTTTCATAACTAATTCTTACTCTGCCACTAGGTTTATTCGCTAACACCACGTCTAAATTATACAATCTTTGCGTTCAAAGCACATAAAGTTGATAGTGGGTGAATTCTAGACGGGAGTGAACTGAATAGGCTTTTACTGAGCTATTGCGTTCACTAGCTTCAACGCTTCTTAGTATAAGTTAGTATCAATGGCAATGGCTGTCAAATAATAAGCAGTCTCTTTAATAACGATATTTTCTTTCCCTCCTTTTAGTTCATCTCATTTCATCATACGGATCAAACATTTGTTGATAAGTAGTGTTCATTTAATTTAAAACACACGCACACGTCACAATCTGTGGAAACTCGAGGGATTTTCTAAACGGCTCTAAATTTCACGCAGTCTGTATATTACTGCACTGCAGTTGTTCTAATTCATTAACACTGCTGTTTACGAGATTAGCTTTAAAAAATCAGTATTGATACAAAAAAGATTTTTAAAATTAAATGTGTTGTTGTTTAGTAGAAGTAGTATCCACATAGAAGATTTAGTTTTCTAAAACTTTGAAAGCAAATGAATTCTTCGAGGATGTAATGCTTTTCTAATTTATTTTAACAGTAAGGTTCCCTCTAAGGAAATTGATAACCAACGACCTCAACCACCCTCAATTTCAAATAAAATCACATCACTGATAAGTAAAGTAGCCTTAAGTACCATCCATTGATGTTTCAAGAGACAAGGTTTCCGTTATCAATAGAGAAAAGGTAACAGCTTTATCTGCTCTTATTTATTTATTTATCTGGTTTTCAGTTAGAAGTCGTACTTCCCTCTATTATTCCCTAATGCTGCAAAAGTCACATGGTTGCTCTACCAATGACATTGTAACGGTGAATATCTTCTGAATAGTTTCGTAAAATTTAGTCCAGCCAGTTAATTCGCGAAATTGGTGACGCGATCTTAAATGTAATCAAGAAACTTGTTAAAACTTAGATTAGCCTCGTGCAACTTTACATATTTACCTATTCATTCCATTTCATGAGAACTGTATTTGACGTTATTTCAATTGTAATTCAATATAACGATCTTATAATATGAATCACAATTATATGTTTTGAAACAATAATTGAAAATTGATATAGATATTAAAATTATTTAAAAATGTCATTATTTAGACTATGGTAGGGCCACGCGGCAGCTTTTTTACGAATGGCGCGTCCGGGGAAGGTTACGGAATTAGTTTTAAATTCTCTTCATCACCAAACATTTCTATTATCATCATCATCATCATTTCAGCCTGTTTGAGTCCACTGCTGAACATAGGCCTCGCACATAGACTGCCACGATGTACGATCCTGAGCTACCTGAATCCATTGACTTCCTGCATATTTGCATAGGGCATCACTCCATCTAGTGGAGGGTCGCCCAACACTTCTATATTACGGTTAATTGAACATTTAGTTCTAACTGTGGTTATTATATACCACGCTGCATTCTCTGCTGATGCACGAACGACAATCCGGGAATCACAACGGCCTCACAGAAGACCGGCGCGAAACGCGAACTCTAATGTGTAATATTGAAGTATTTAGCGTTTTTGTTAGCGTTATTCATTAGCGTTTCGTCTGATGAGGTAACCGGGGCCCACTTTCTTAATGGTTGGCAACGCCTTTGCAACCCGTCAGGTGGGTGGCGGTAATCACTTAACATCAGATGAACCACCAAAGTTTCACATAAAAATATAACTTCAAAAAATGATATTTAACAGGGAGGCTTTTCTAAGTGTATCCATTTTTTTAATTAAATTCTAGACATAAATAATGTTACATAAAAAAATTAATTCATTTTAACTTATCTCAAAAAGTGGTGATTCATGGGCAACTCATTTATTTTACGCGCGTTCATTCATAAGAAACACGCACACAAGTTCGTTTCAAATCTATACGACGCATTTATGAATGAGTACCGCATTGTCAACAAGTTCTGTTTTTTTGGGAATAGAATGACAATTTTTAAAAAAAAAAAATGTTTTTATTTCAATAAACGAGTCTGAACCTCCTGTGTGAATTTGGGCTCCTTTAAAAAAGCCACCCTGTATACAAATCGATAAGGCTTCAAATCGATAAGTTGATAAGGCTTCTGGACGCGTTAATCGAAAGACGCAGGTTTGGATCCGAAAGCGTTTAAATACAAATTTCACATTTTAAGAATTTCTATTTATTAAAGCCAAGTTTCATTTAAATGCACACAGCTTAAACTTCATATCGACCCGACACTTATCTAAATGTAATGTATTAATTTCAATATCGCTAATTGTTTTTT